CTTTGTTTCTCTAGTCTACTCAGACTAACACGGAAACCCAGAAGGCTGTTTCACAGAGCACCTGAAGCAGAACCTCTGTATATGTGTATGATGCTCCCCTTCTTGATATACTTCCTCAGAGCACATCTGCTTAACTCCCAGGAAGACGGAGCACTTGTTGACTTCTCACGCGCAGACCCTAGATGAAATCCCTGTTCCTGGAAAGAGTTACTTATTGGCTCTGGTCAGATGATGGGAAAGAAATACTGAATGTCAGGGAGACTACCAGGAAAAAAAATGTATGTCTTTGGGTGTTATGAAAGGGAAGATGTTAGAAGAGATATCTTCATTGGGCTCAACTTCATGAACAAGTGGGATGTTTTCTTAAAGAGGGAAGACTGTCAGAATTGTAGAGTATGTTCAGAATAAAAACAAAAACAAACAATATGGCTTGGATTCCAATGAGCTGGATTCCAAGGAGGAAGGTGCTGATATTTCAATAAGAGCTAGGCAAAAAGAAATTAGAGTTGAATCCTAATGGGGGAAATATAGTAAAAAACGGTGACACCTAGGTAACGGGACTCCCAAAAGATAAAGATACTTGGTTAGCATCTGCATAAATAATTCAGAGGTACAATTGAATGTAGGGACTTCAGAGATCCCTAAGTTTCTAAGTATTATAAACTGAAACACCACACCGTTGTGTTCTAGGTAAGATGCAACACAGAACTCATTCTTGGTCCATACAAGTTTTAGTAAGTAAGATTTTTGGTTCAACTGTGGAGCAAAGTTATGAACACTGAGCAAATTTCTTTCAAACTTTACTGTTTGAGTAGTGGAGAGTTCAAGCTCAGTGCCATTCAACAACCAAGGTTATCACTGTACAAGGAGATGTGAGAGGGTTGGAATAATTCCAGTTAGACCTGATACAAGGTCTAAAGGTATTTAGGAATGCTAAGAGCTCATGTATACCTGTTCAGTTCATATCCCACAACTTACCCCAGGAACACTGTCAGACACAACTTCCAGGGCCTGTGGGCCTGTGGATTTGACTGCATTTCTTATTGATAAAGCATGATTGCTCAGCTTGGCAAAGGGGAGAGCTGTTACTAGGCTTTGATGTAGCAACACGTAACACTAATAGGCCATCCATCATACAGAAAGATCTGCCACCAGTGAGCTGGTTTTGGTTTGTTTTCATAAAGAAAATATGTTTGCATCCATAGTCTTCACCATTCTGACAGAGAGGGTAGGGCTCTCAGCTCACAGCTGAAGAGTAGGGGGTGGGGAGGGAAAGCTACGACCTGGACGAGGGTTCATAAAGCATGCTTTCACTAGTAGCCTCAACCAGGCACCTCCATGGTTCAGTAGAGGCTCAAGTTTGCAAATTGGTCTGAGCCCAAGTCCTGGGGCAAGCATGTCTAGGGCCATGCCATAATCATTATCTGGGCCTCAGGTTGACTAGCCAGGGTTGAACACAAAGTACAGATATCTAGAATCCCTCTTCAAATGAAATCTTAATTTGGCATCTCATTCATACTATATACGGAAGTTGGTGATTTAGCCGGCTGCTGTATTGTGAACCACTAAGTCAGTTTTTCAAACTCATCAGAAGCTCCAGGGAGAAAGATGAGGTTTTCTGTTCTTATAACGATTTCCAGCCTCAGCTGAAATGCCCTACCTAATGTGAGGAAAAGGTAGGAGACTTCTATCTCAAGGTTCTGGAATAGGTGGTTGTTGAACTTCAGTTCGGATCTCGTTTTCAAGGTGCTCAATAAACAGAGGCAGGAAGTACCATATTTACTATTGTCATATCTCTGCTTTTTTAAGTGAAAATGTGTTCCTCTAGCAGACATGGTTCTGAATGAATGTTATTGAAAGTTTTTCCCTACCCCCAACCCACAAGTAAATAATGCCCCAACACTTAAGCTTTTAATCTCCACAACAGGTCATGTATTGAGGTCTGAAAAGCTGGCCTGTGCATGCATAATTTCCCATTCACAACAGTGTTTTAAATTCTATACCATTGGCTAAATTAATGGCACTATTGATAGAATTACTTTATGCCCAATGGAGATAATTTAAAATGTTCTCCACAATAAGATGATAATGATGTCTCTAAAGTGAATGACACACATACACCATAGATATGTGCACAGATTTGGGGCTCACACTTAATTGTAGCCTTAGTCTAATAACAATTCGTTCCTATGACATAACCCTGCTCTGTGCTCACCCTCATGAAAAGATCACTGAATATGTGCACTGTAGCAGAATGTGGTGAGAAATCAGATGGTACCAAGCTATCAAAAAGAATATGCCAGGGACCTTAAAGTCTTGTCTCTAAGCATGAAGTCACCTAAGTGAGGTATCAACTATGCCCATCTGAACGAAGCACACCAGCCTGTGTGATCCAAGGATTGTAAATAGTTAAGATCCAAATCCAGAGTAGGGAATAGTATTAGAGCTTACATTCTGAACACCTTGTTTGCAAAAGGCTATAGATGACAGTAGAAGCCGAAAATCCATTTGTAAGGCGTTTGCAATGATTAAGCCTCCAGAATACCATCTGACCTGAAGCAAGGGCAGTTATTTATTTTTACTGTGTATTATCAAAATAATTCTCTCCAGCACCACCCCTACACCACACAAGTACTTTTTACTTTTTCATACTGAGCTGGGCTATTACCATTTTAGAGACAGACAAATGGACACCTGCTCTGGATTGGTACAACAGGTAAGATCCAGAATCATAATCTGTCTCCTGATCTCCAATACCGTGTGATTGTTAAATTTTCCAGAGGATGTTTTGTCAAGGAAAAGCAGGTTTCCCCAACTTTCCGGCTCCAGATAAGTTGAAGATACCCGGTTTGTCAAGTTCTTTTCTAATTTCTGTGGAAATTACCCAGAATACAACTTTCCTGGTCATGACTTGTTCATTCCTAAAGGTGTAGGGATCACATTGGTGTCCCCCCGTTATGAGGTTATGTGCTCCCATAAAGACTTACAGCCGCAGAAACTCTTATCTAGACAGGATGAATGTGAGTGTGTTGTGGGGTGTGGCTGGGGAAAGGAATATAGAATCCGTTTCAATGTAAGATGATTGTACACATGCATTGTGTGTTCAGTCGTAGTGGGATGAGCTAGAATATGTCTGTGTGCATATACCAGTATCTGATTACTCCCTCTGCTGCCCCATACACCAAGAATAATCCACGGGGAGTTTTTCAACAGATCGTTTTGCTTGAATTCAGATAGCTCCTTTTTAAAAATTACGTGTGCACAGAGCTGCCACTTAGCTCACTGATAAAGTTTGGAGCTTGAACTAGGTCTCCAAACCCCTCCAACGGGGAGAGAGAGAAATCACAGCCCAGCATTCTTTAGTGCTCATAATGCAGCATTCCACTGTAAAGAGTCCATCCCCAACCACCGCCAGCCTCTGCGACAGGAGCGGGGCGGGGGCCCTCTCTAAAAAATAAAAACCACAACAAAAGACTACTTTTTTAGTGTTCTTCTTTGAGGTGGTCTCTCCACAGTTCTTTCCGCCAATTCCACTTCCTCGTGTGGCCCAAGGCAACTTTCCCACATTTTCGCAGCCGGATTCCCGCCGGGGCTCAGGCCCGCCAGCCTCGCCCCCTGCTCCTCTCCCCGGGGCATGCACCTCGGCCGGTGACCCTCAGGCTGGCGGCCG